AGCAGAGCCTGTGATACTGTGAAATTATATGTCTTCTGGAACAGTATGTGCTGGAGAACCTTCTACATGGGTTATATTTGGTGATAAATGAATAACAAGACTAAGAGCCTACAGCAATGCTAGCAGCTATGTGAGGCTGTCTTTAGGCACAGCGATGCTTTGAGCTAAATGCTAATGTCAGTATGCTAACATGCTCAAAATGACAATGCTAAGATGCTGATATTTAGCAGTTTTAATGTTTACCATGTTCACCATCTTAGTTAGTGTGTTCACATACATACTGATGGTAATGTCATTAGTTCTCTTTTTTGGCCATAAACCAAAGTATTGGCCAAATTAACATTTTGACTGTAAGCTGACTCTAGAGGAAAAGTCAAGGAAGTAATTACAATTCATCCTGAAGAGAACATGAATGTATGTGCCAAATGTCATGGCAATCCATTCAATGGTTATTTTACTTGAAACCAAAAATGTTAACCTCAAGGTGCAGCTAGAGTAAACGTCAAGGTATCACAGTCAGTAGGATACATCATCTGAGCACCATGAATATCCGTACCAAATTTTGTACTAATCCATAGGTTACGTGGAAGCTATGGATTATCCTCTGGGCACCATAGATATCTGTGCTTAATTTCATGGCAACCTATCCAATACTTGTTGATATATTTCACTAAAAGCAAAAAATGTCAACCTGATGGTGCCAGTTAGGAAAGGGTAAATGATCAGGAAAGTCAGTAGGATTCATCCTCTGGGGATCATGAATGTCTACGTGGAAAATAACTTTGGTAGTTTCCTTGCCGAGGGTTAGACGAGAGGACTGATACCATTCTCACATTTGTGCATTAAATACAAAGCTACAGCTAGCAGAAGGTTAGCATAGCTTGCATAAAGACTGTAAATGGGGAAGCTAGACTAGCTAAAGGGAACAAAATCTGCCTACCATTCAGTACACTGAATAACATTTCATATGTTGTTTTTTCTATATGTTTGTTTGTAGCCTGCTGACTTTGGAACTTAATATTTACCATACAGAATTGAGAGTGGTATTAGTCCTCTCATGTAACCCCTGACAAAAAAAGCTAGCAAAACATATTTCCCAAAATGTTGAACTAGCTCTATTATTTTTTGTCTTAATATTTTTTGGCCCCTCTAAAGCCAGATTTCCTCTGAGGTCAATGGAAGCATCTCCTTCATTTCTTAGTTCACGTAAGACAGGAGCTAAAAGAGAAAAGACAAGACCAAGACAACAAGACCCAAGGGAGAGGCAGAACATAGTTTTTTTCATTCCTTCATGCAGCAATAATAAATATGGCCTGTGTACTCATTAGCACCAAGCTGCATACAGTTTTGAGGAGCTTGCGCTTGATAAATAATGCAGCAGAGGAGTGTCTGTTTGTTCCTTGAAACACTGAAAACCTGGGGACCATTTTTCTTCAAAGCACAGCAGTGCAGGTAAGCAGAGGTATCCTGGCAGTGTCAGAAAGAACACTAAGTCCTTGAAACTGAGTCATTAGATTATAAAATTGCTACAGTGTTTGACAGTCAGAAATGCAGATTCTGGCTTTAAAACAATTTTCTTTCCTAAGCAAATATTAAGGGTAATATTGTAATTGTTGTTTCCTTCTAAAGGTAGCCGGACACATGCTTTCTCTTTCTCAACACCAACACCATCCTGCTTTACATTCAGACAATGTTACACTCATTGAAATGAAAAACAAAGCCTTGCCACTGCTAAATGAAAACACTGCAAGCAAGACTCTGGAGAAAACTCTGGAGAATTTTTAATATACTCTAGTTAAAAAGTAGAAACTGGAAGCCTCTACATCCCCTGACAGGAACCTATATGTCATTGTTCATAATTTGGCTGTAATGAGCTGTTTTGAAGCTTTTTCTCTCCTTGTCTAGAAGAACCAGCGTCTAACATGCAGTCTACATGCAGCTTTCTGAAAGCCAAGCTGAAACCAAAGTACGAGGAATTTAATTTAACACAAATTACAAATATATGGTTAATTAATTGCAACAGATCAGGGAGATTCAACATAACCAATGGACATTGTACAAATGCAACTAGATATTATAAGAAAAATTAGCTGCCAAGGGCCATGATTGCATATTGTACTAGTAACTCTGTCATTACACTGTGATAAAACAATGCATCTAATGATATTTGAGAAGACCTGCAAATTGACAGAGGCCTTCCTTGAGCTCCTCCATCTGGCCTTTCAGATGCTAAAACATTTCTGGTTAAAAGCAGTATTTCACACACAAGTCTTGCTACTTGCACCTTTAATGCATTCACTCCTTTAGAGCAGTCACTGTCATTTATATCTACCTAAACATGCATAATTCAGTGCTTCACTCTCTGAACTCAGAAAACATTACCCAATATATCATGAGACAGTGATATAAAACACCTACATAGCAGGCACCGGTGATGCCGTCGGCCTGTGCAGGTTCTGCAGTTGTGTCTTTTGAAACAACACAAAAGCAAATTCAGTGCAGGCGGAGCAGGAGGGTATGACAGATGGATGTGATTTAGGACAATATTAATCTCTTTTTTTGAAGTTGTTCCCTCCTGCTGCAAAATGTCTTGGGAGTCCCAGAGGGCAACAAGCGTCAATACGACTAGTCAGCAATGGGAGGATTGTGTTCTTGGCAGGGCGCTGCTATTTATAATCACTCAACACAGGGAAAGTGTCCAATACTGTTAGGAGCTCCTTATCTCTGAGCTCTGTCAATATTCCTCTGTGTAGGCGGACAGTGATGTTATCACAGCGCACCAAACAGCAGCTTCACACAAGGCACATATATACATACACACACACAAATCCATAAATACATACACACACCACCCTGAATTTAAACTGGTCCTAACCATTTCTCTGGTTTCTACCTAATTGAACATACAGATTTGTAAGAACTGATCTCCCTTCCTCACTGCAGTGTGTGTGTGTGTGTGTGTGAGATTCAACACTTGTGTTGAATCAGCAAATGATTCAATAAATTATTCAACCTTTCCTCAACAAATTCACCACTGAATTTGATAGAAGGAACCGACATTTGACTGAATAAGTTACCACAGACTGACTCACTTCTCCCTGATACACTGTTGCTGCGGGGGCTATTCATTCTTCTTTTCACATGTATTTATTTAGTTGTAATCACAGAACATGCTTTTCGTGGTCAGACACACACACACACACACACACAGACACACACACAGACACACACACACACACAAGCACCTGTACAGGTAAGTATATAAAGCAATTTGAAAACAATTTTGGACATATTTTTCTACTTATCTTTCCGCATATTCCCCTTTTATCCCAGTTTGGACTGGCCAGTTCCCCTGACACTGCGGCCCTTTTAACTTTCCATTGTTAGCCAGAGCAGTGTACACATATAGACACCAGCTGCTTCTTTTCACCTGCCAATCCTCACTGGCTTCCCACTTATGAATATTCCATGTATTGGGGCACTGCAGTCCAGGATTTAAGCAGGGCACCTGCAGTGGTAGGTGAGGGCTTTTACCCCACACACTCCCTTATGAATCTTTTGCTCACAGAAACTTACATAACCTAAGTTTGTGGACGTACATATGAAGACAGTACAAAACTCAGCTCACACAGCTCCTTGTTTCCCTGTGAGGTCTGATATCTGTTGAAACCTCATGCAGTTATCTGTCTTTTGACTGAACAGTTAACTCACAGCACCTATATACAGTATTAGGCTTATAATTCTAAAGATAAGAACAATCAGCTGAACCATTTAATCTTTCAGCTGAGCAGTATCCGGCTGCTAAATCAGCTGTGACTTGCCCTTCAGAGACAATTACATTAACTGTTCTTCTGGGCCAAAAAAAGAAACACACACAGGCTTGTCCTCTGTTTGCCCAAAGGGGTCCATCTGAGCTCTCAGCTACCTAGTACATCCACAGTCACACTGGTAGGAGAGTAGGGAACATTAAAACAACATCATCTGCAAAGAAGAGGGCATTTCATTTTTGCAAATGTCAAGCTGCCATGATAAGCACAGGTCAGATTAGCACTATAACATTTACTTCAACTTAAAACACTCATTGGCCTTCTATAGTTGATCTTAAATCAAGTCAGCTCAGACATAAAGACCAAAGTACACTATTCAAAAGTCCAATTCAGGCTACTACAATGAGCAACAAATTCAGAGGCAACTGTGGAATCATAACTATGTAGTTGCCAAATTCAAAATTGGAATCATTCACACAAAATCCATGCGTGCATACTCCAATTACTGTAATAGGAGACTCGATGCTATGGTATCATGAAACTGGCCTAAATGAAACCAACAGTGTCTAAACATCCAATTATCCTCCTCCACAAAGTGCTTATAATGAGCATTCAAGACTGTAAGTAAAGTATTTCTATACCCTTGATGTTAAATCCACAATAAGCTTTGAATATTATATTTCAGAAGTGTGGCCGGTAAATGAACATGCTATTAAGCTATGTCACAGAACACAAGAAAGGTCTTTGATCTTCTGTAATGTAAATAGTTTTATATGTGCGAAACAAAATGTATTTTAACTAATTTTACACCAAGACAGCGTTGGAATTTATATGAGAAAAGGTATCTATGTTATGTTGTTAAATCTTACATTGTTTGGACACAGCCTACCAACACTGCTGCTCTGCTGTGATCCGAGATCTTTAAATTACCCATGACCATTTATAATCAAGTCATCCCAACCTGACAGCTTTCTGTCCACTGAGGGCCTAAACAGTTAGTAGGATTGGTTATACTGAAACACACATATCCCTAGCCTGCACTGAACAATTCACACACACAAACACACACACACACAATGATGCCATAATTCTATAACAACCCAAACAAAATATTGAGATTTTAATTCTTTACACACCAACAGATGGTGTGCAGGGAGGAGCCATGTTCCAATCACTAAATACATCTCGCTCAAATTTCTTTACAAATGATTTTATATGTACAGAGTTGCTCACCCAGCAGGCAAGTACTTCATAACTTCTGGCGTGGCCCCCAGCAAAGTCCGAACTGGCCCAGCTGTCACGCTGGGAAAACAGAATCAGGCGCACCTGAAGTCATTTCACAAGACCATGCTGTTCAAAGGATCCAGATCTGTAGCAGCCATCACTCCATAATATCCACTAATTTATAAAAAAAAATGCTAAATTCTTCAGCCCAGCAGTTGTTGCCTGGTTTGCGGCGTTCAGAGTTGCTAATCGTGTTAAACAGTACAGAGGACATGAATTGGAAGCTATATAAACAAGCCTCTAAGCACCAGGCTGGAGGCTCAGCAGGTTCATCTCCTACTACACTGCACTCCTCTCCATCCTCGCATGAATGTACGAGGACTTGTGTGGGGGCCTGGGGCTGCACTGGGGAGGGAGAGCTGTTAACTCTCCTTAGAAAAAAAAAGATGGAAACAAAAACATATAAACAAAAAATTACCCAAGAGAGAGCAGCAGTCTTCACCCTTTAAAAATACATTGTTAGTTAGCAGCTACTGGAGGATTTATTTAGGGTTGTTTTGGACCCAATTACAAACAAAGTCACAAGTATTGTGATGATACACAACTTTAATTTACTTTTTGTGTCAGGTGGAATCTACTATTGCTTATGTCATTCGTGCGTTACGGAAAAATGTACAGGAAGAGGCATAGTGATGCTATGAACGGCTACTTTTTTTAAATATAGTTAAGAAAAGTAGACTACGGAAAACATATATGAAGTGTGTTAAAAGTTTATATTTTTTTCTATCTTAAACACTTTGGCAGTCTGAACTCTGAAACCTCTCTAGCTCCCAGAATTTTGAAGTATAAATAAGGATCTTTGCGAGGTCTTACCCTGTAGTAGTCACTGCTGTAGATGTCCCTGGACATGCCGAAGTCTCCAATCTTAACCAGCAGGCCATTGCCCACCAGGCAATTGCGGGTTGCCAGATCTCTGTGAACAAAATGCTGGGAGGCCAGGTAGACCATGCCCGAGGCAATCTGGGTGGCGATGTGCAGCATCTGGGAAAGACCCAGCTCTCCGTTGGACTGCAGTGGTTGGCCGTCTACCAGAATCATGGCGTCTGGGCCGTGGGCTCTGGGTTACAAAAAATAACATTGATTGATTTAATGAACTAATACTGAAGATGGAGTGTTGTAGTCTCTGTTTTAAAGTGGACTATGTAAATTTTTCTGAACAGCGGTGGCCAGAAGAGTTAATTACAGTCACAGTCACAAAGGGTTACAAAGTCAGTGAACTGACTCAGTAATGTCAGCCATGAAGCAACATCTAACATGCTAACATTAGCCACCATAAGACTCCGGTCATACCAGACCAAGTCAGGCTGTACCAGATAAACCGCTGAGGGTACTGAATTAAGAAAAGGTGTGTTTTATAGCTAATGAATAAAACTATATTAGTATATTTGTGGCATATCTACTTTTAAATGTTACATAATCTCACTCTAACAACTGGATGTAGGAACCTTTAAAACCTTTTCAGCATAGCAGACAGTAACCTGGCTGCCCCTCTAATAAGTAACCCAACGCTCATTACAGTGCTAATAACCCTTATCTTGGCAGTATTGGTGCCTTTTTCTACCTCTTGAGAATAACTAGCATAATAAAGAGAGACTGTTAGAAATATTAACAAATTAACTATAACCTACAGGCACCTTTAATTGCCATGATAAATAGTTTTTATTAATTCCGCGGCTGCTATATGAGGCTTTGGTGGTTTTGGAGTAGTTTTTGCAGCATTTTCAGCAGACAAAGTTGTCTCAGGCTGTGTTTCTTTCACCATCTCTCAATTTTAATGCAATTCAATGTTCTTTGCTTTACGTGTGTGTGTAATAAGTCATCCTCAGTGTAGAGGGATTAGTAGTAGTCTTCCTTATTTTGTGTTTTTTTTCGTCTTTCTACGTCTATGTTACTTCACTAGAAGTGGTTGAATGAATGCAGGCCGCCCGCCGTTTATCTGAAGGTTGAGCTGGACCTGCACATCAGATACTCTATAAATTCATTTCTACTGATTCTCCACACATATCATTTGTTAAATGTGACCGACAGGACCAATAGACCAAAAATCAGCCACGTCTTGCGCCTTGCATGAAAGAATTTCATCATTCACGACATTGCCTTTCATTTCAGGAATGATTTCCCAACAGAAATTCTTCACGCACTCTTGAATCCACACACACACTCAATCGTAACATGTCATCTTTTCAACTACTGCTCAAACTTCAAAAACAAGATAGGCCACACACACACACACACTCTGCTGCTGTCAACGCACATGAAACAACACACTTCTATCCCAGACTCCTTCTGTGCACACTGACATCAACCCCAGTGAAGCTTCCCATTACCAAAGCGCTCACTGTACCAGCATTGTGTCGCTTTTGTTGAGGCTTATCAGAGGTCACTTCCCTCGGTATAGTCTGACATTACGGAACAAAAGCACTAAAGCACTCATGTTTGCTAACCCAGAAAGCTGTGAAGTTGGCTTGATATTGTATCGGCTTCAGGAATTTGACAAAAGATTTCTACTTTTCTTGAACTCTTACTGAAGTTTTATATTTACATATACTGTCAATGAGTTGGTGGACACTTCCACCTAAAAGACCAGCCAGAGTTAAAAAAAAATGCTCCAAGTACAGGTGGTGCACACACTGTAATCAGGCTTTCACACAATTTAGTTATCTACTGTAGGTTTATAATATGAATTTCTAATTTGCTCAGCCAGCGCCAACTTGGTACATTAAGGTCAATTTGACTTAACCTTCAGTGAAAAACTGACCTGAGGAATTTGTTGAGGTCTCCATGCTTCATGTATTCGAACACCATGATGAGAGGGTCTCCGTCTACACACACTCCGTAGAATTTAACGATGTGGTCGTGCTGCAGGTTAGTCAGCAGCTCTGCCTCCCTCTGGAAGTCCTTTCTTGCCGACAGGTTGGGATCTTTCAGTGTCTGAAAGGGAAAATAAAAAGTCAGATGGACACATTAAGAAAAGGTAAACATAACAATAAAATGGATGGTTGGGTCATATTGAGCTAGCCTGACCCAGTCCAAATATTTAGAAAATGCAGCCCTCTTTATCTCTGACTTTGGAAAAAAAATCACCTAACCCTTTGCATCTGTATTTTCAGTTGATTGTGCCAGTCATTTGTCTGATCGTAAATTCCAGTCAATGTTCATGGACACCAGACATTCACTCCATTGTTTAGTAATAGATAAATGAAAGTAATATCATTATAATAATACTGGTACATTAATTTGTTCATTTGATGAAAAACTTTGTCTCCCGTAGAGAGGGCAGATAATAAACCCTGTTGTCAGTTCACCCTAGTTCTCTGGTCCTTCCAGGAACACACCTTCTTGGGGCACATCCTTCAGAGGATCTGGTACCTAATTTGTGCTGCATTGTTTCACATCGTCTACTTTTTCATTTACCACTCCTTTTTATGCTAAGTTCCACCCTGCACCCTTCTTCTTTCCTCTATAACCCAATTAGTTAACTCCTCTATGCTTTGAAGCATCCACTCAGTATGCCCAATTTGTCCATCAATTTGTAGCCATGCTAGTGGTGTGGCTCTAGGGATGACAATGTCCTTTGGTCGTTCACTTCGGTCCAGAAATATCTGGACATTCACAGGTCCCCAGAGGATAAATATCACTGACTTCTTCTTGATTTTTCCTCTAGCGTCATGATGAGGTTAATAGTTTTGTTTTTGCTCGACAACAATGAAATTTGGTACATATATACCCCAGTAAATCCTAATAGTTTTGGTGATCCCTGACTTTTTATCTACTTACATCCGCAGGTCAAATATTAAATTTCTCCAATTATTTGTTTATGATCAAATACCTGCAAAACACTTTGCTTTCCCATCAGCCTCAGCTTTACTTACACTATGTTTAGCGCTAATTAAAAAGTGTCAGCATGCTAAACTAACCTCCTAAATCCTTATCCTACCTCCTAAACCTCAGCATGTTAGCATGCTGATGTTTGCATTTAGCTCAAAGCACAGCTGTGCCTAAGTAGAGCCTCACAGAGCCGCTAGTGTAGGTGTAGACTCTTTAGGTGCGTTCCCACCGAAAGCGAATCCAGCGCTTTGGGTGGCTTGATTACATACAAAGTCAATGCAAAGACGCAAATTCAATACCTCATCCGCGAATGAGGCGTTTTTTTAAACTTCGGCGAGAAATTTTCTTGAAGCGATGTTGCGAAAGCTTATCAGCAGGGAGATTGTCCAAACATCAACTGTGGCTTCAGAGCGTTGTTTAGAGAGGACCAGGCGAGCAGTCTAATGACAATCCACTGGCCGACGGGGAGCTGCTAAAGAACGGGGAAGCGGACGGAGAGTAGCGCTGCAGCTTTCAGAGAAATAAACACCCGTAGTAGTCTGGATTCTGCTCTGACAACTAGGCCATTTACCAGCGGGAGGAGGTCAGAGTTAACTGGTTTTATTAAATTATCTTTTAACTTTAGTTTTTGGAATTACAACTTTATTTATCTTCACTCGCGCTTCTCGGAAGCTAGATTCCGTGCACATCCGGTTCAGCTGTTGCTGTTAGCGTCGGATGGCACCAGAGTTCTGCTGGACTACTACTTCATTTTTATATAAAAACTGGACAAAGCTGGACATTACTTGGAGAAAGGAAAGCGAGGAAGTTGAACTACCTGGTGAGTTTAGAAAATGTGTGTCTGTAACTTTATTCCAGCTGTCGTTGTACTTTACTCCATTCAGAAAACACATATTTTAAAAGCTGACAGACCTGACAAAGTATGAATCCATATGTCTAACAAAACAGCATCATATTGTAGTTATTTCGGCATTAGTTTGATCCGTTTATTTCAATTAAATCAGAGCCAAGGGTTTACTTTGTGTTCATAGTTGTAGTATCCGTGGGCTGTGTTTATTCGCTTAAAACGCGTGTGAAGTCTCAAAATGTCCAGCGGTCAAACTCGCACGAGTAAAGCGAGGCGAATATTAAATTTGCTTTCGGTGTGAACGCAGCTTTAGACTTGATGCTCTCTGGGTGTGGTAGAGCCAAACACAATCCTCTGAACTTTAAAAAAATAATAATTATTTCCTCTTTTATTTAGTAATACAGTATAGAGTTTGAGGCTATATGTTATATCCACCTAATAAAACTGTTCATAATTCATAGGACAGTGATCACTAAAACTGTGACATTAAGGGGGTATAGGTTCACCTGGCTGGAACAACTGCACAAAATAAATTGATCTGATTGGTAAAGTCATCAAGCAGGGAGTACTTTAAACTCGTTTGAAGTACACATGAAACATCAAATCTCAGTGAAATCAAACAACAGCAATAATGCGCCTTTTTGTTGCCTCTATTGGAGGGAAAAAAGACTTGACATTCCATCAGCAACAAGAAAATACAGCAACTTCTCTTGATCTCCTTGGCTTTTAGTCCTGCTATCTGAGTCTGTTGCTGACGTTATTACAGATGGAAAGACCTTGAAATGGAAATATATTTACTCATATGTGCTCTTCTTGCAGTGAAGTGCTAGAGGTGGTTGAGATGTACAGCAGAGTAGGTAAAATGTCCATAAAATTCTATTACCAAATCAAACCGCACTCTTAAGGAAATGTTTCTTGTCTGGGCGTCCCTCCAAAACAATACCTTCAAGTGCCCAACTACAATAAATTGAGGGAAAGCGCTGCAATGAATTTTCCCTTTGTTGACCTTTAAGTATATTCAGAGAGCCTCTTTCTGCTTTATTGCAGACAGGAACAGGTTCAGATGAAAATGCACATTGCATTGTGTTTTAAAAAATAAAGAGGACACTGCAGAGGAGCCTTATCATAAAACAGATTAAAAATGTTTTTGTTAATCCTGTAATATTAAGAAAAGGATGTAACATCTTCATCTTTACTCTTCCACTCACTTCTCCCGTTGTCAAGGTCAGTGTGGTTTTCTGACTGTAATTTCTTTTTCTGGGTAAGTATGCTGAGTCTGCAACCTCGTATTAAGCATCACCCTGCTTCACATTCGTACAGTTCCTCATATTCACACCGGGAGCTGCCAAGCACAACTTAATGTTGAGCACTGCTAAGGCACTGAGAGCCACCACACAGAGGCAGTGGTTCTTAATGCTTTGAGCTATTTAAAACAAAACAGAGCACTAAATAGAGATTTTGGACTTACTAATTCTTCACATATTGAATCATCACTGTCTGGAGTAGAGTTGCAGAGTTGTTCATACCAGAGGGATACTAACTAGTGGCTACTGGTAAGGCTAATGCAGTGGTTCTCAAACTGGGAGGTGGGCGTCCCTGGTGGGGTTTAGAGTCACTGCAGGGGGGGCATGGATGTTAAGCGGACCTAAAGTTGTATGAATATGATTCATGTGGTGACATAAACAAATAAAAGTGTTCTGATGCTAGCAAGGTTATTTTGCTAGCCTGAATCATTTGTTTACTTCAAGCTGGTATTGTTAATGATTGATAAAAATGAAATCCACTTTTGCTGTGGTAGGGGGGGACAAACCTTTTTCAGCTTCTGAATGGGAGCATGACAGAAATAAATTTGAGAACCACTTGGCTAATGGGACCAGATATACAGTGATTTTGGTTGGACTGTGGAGTGGGCCATGGCAATCATATGACATTGCCTATCAAGCCAGGTGGGCCAGCCAGAGTAGGCTAGCCTAAGCAGTTACAATGTACAGTGGATATAAGGCTGGGTCAAGCTGCCAAGTACCTGCTCTTTGCTTAGGTGAGAGTAGGATTCATAGATGATTTAAAGGTGTGTTAGGTTAGTGAATGGTGTGGACACATTTTTAAGGCTGGGTCAACCCACAGAGTACCTGCTCTTTGCTTGGGTGAGAAGATTTAAAGGCAGCTTAAAAGGTAATTTAGGTCAGAGCGATCAGTAGATTTATGACTGCACAGCTTGATACCCACTGCAGGACCCAGTGATAGGTCAAAATGCATGAATACTGGGCTTCCATAGGAAAGCTCACCTAACTTTTGCCACTTTTTACAGTTCACCAATAACTAACTATACAACTGTTGTTTTGGCATCCATACAATGAGATGTGTTTCATTGTGGCGGTTGTGAGCAGAAAGTAGCGTGCATGAAATGGGCACTACTTTTTTTTCTTCCGCCATGGGATTTATGAGTGCTCATGGATAAAGTTACACACACATATGAAATGGCAGGAAATAAACATGCATTATATAGTAAATAGGAAGTGTTTTTGGACGCAGCCATAGTCTGGCACATAACCCCTCATTACACCACACTTAGATTATTGTACCTATTAAACAAACAGGATATATGTGTGTGTGTGTTAATTGGAGAGCATTAGGAGTGCTGGCAGGAAGATTGTGTTACTTTTAAAGCCAGACTAGCTGTTTCTCTGTGTTTGAGCCTTTTCAGCCTTTTGAGCATTACTCAAAATATCAAACGATTTCTTCAATACTGTTTATAATACACACACACACACACACACACACACGCAACCACACAGTGAATGTACCTTGACAGCCACCAGCATCTTGTCCTTGGTGGGGCTGAGGTTGTAACACTCTGCCAGGAACACTTTACCGAAAGCTCCTTCACCCAACTCCCTTTTCAGGATGATGTCTCTCCGCTTTATATGTTGGACAACTAAACCACAGACAGGGAGACAAAAAAGGGAGAAAGAATTCTCAGATTTTAAGCTTCAGTACATTTTTATAGGGCATAAAACTATGCTATATTTGCAGAAATTAACATATCTGGAAGGGTAATTTCAAATATCTTTTTTAATTCATCTTTAAAACGAGGAAAAGAAGAGAAGAGAATTGTCTGATTCTGAGTCTGATTGCAAGAAAATAGATACATACAGTATACTAGCAGATGTATGTGCTTTGTATTATTTTATATTCTTGTCAGGTTCTAAAGCTACTGTATCATTATGTCATGTTGAATTACAAAGAAGTGTATACACACATGGATAAGACATCTTAAATTCTCTGGTGTAATGGTGAATCCATAAAGAAAACATCATGAATATTTTCATTTCTCTTTATAGGAGTGTGATACAGCTTGGGTGATGTGCTGAAAAACATCAGAATATGTGACACTGTCAAACTGTAAAAATATCTTTCTTAACTTTGAAGTTACTTTGAAGAGAGAATATTGGGAACATTACAGTTCAAGTGGTTATAAATCTCCAAAACGCAAATAAACATTTAACTTGCTGAGCTGTAAATCTCTTTTCTAGATTCCTTTGTTTACTGTTGGCATTGAAACAACACAAGGGGACATTTTCTAATAAAAACATCATAGTAAACAACTTACCACAAGCTTGGCAGAGTGAGAGAGACATTCCCTGTCTCTCTCGACACTTCTTAGTCTATTTTTTCCTAATAATTCACTCTAACAAGATCAGTTTACAGTTGCAGGACAGTTAAGTCTCTTTGGATGTTGTGACTACTTTCAACCTTTGATTTCTCTTCTTGCTTGCAATGTTTGTGACTGCAGAATATAAATGTATTGATTAGCTTAACAAAACTGGTGAATCTTGTAAGCTGACCACACTCAGAGTAAGTGAGAAACACAGAGATACAGGGGAAAAAATGAAATAGTGAGACAGAAAGTACGAAGCCTAGAAGGTATGAGGGGTAAAATGTTACCCCCTGATACCTGTCAGGCTCAGAATGAAAGAGTTGGGAAGGTGTAGGAGTTGTTGGCTCCTGAACAGAACTGCTCTTCGTGCCTCACTCTGAATAAAACATGACAGCTTGTAGGTTCATCATGAAACCTCTACTGTGTCTATACACACACACTTTTAGTTATACAGTTTTCAACAAACACATTGAGATAAAGATGAGAGGCATTAATGAGTGCTTAACACCACAATATACAATATCAGATATCAAAGGTCAAGATATACAGCAGCTCTCTCTGCTTTCAAATATGAATGAAATGATGTTTAATGCTTAGCAACAGGGGGGGAATAACATATGTGAAAGACCAAAACCAAGCTATTAAATATTAAAACAAATCATACATTGCAAATTAAATTAAATGTAAACCTTATCAATCAACCAATATTTGTCTTATACTTCAACAGCACATAAAGGGGAATGCCACCAATTTAGAGAAGTCGTTATGTTATTTTTTATTCCCCAGTACAGATTATTTATATAAATGCCATATGTTAACCAAGTCATCAGGTCTAATGGGTCCTTTGCAGACAAGTAAACTTCGCAGACCTTTATCCATCCTCCATCTGTGTGTTCTATGTGTTCTTAAAATCACACCCGGTGGTTATAACTATGTCAAAGTGAGTCAGACTTTTTAAGTAACTTTTTTATACATTTGATCTTAACCATGCATGTTTTTTTCCAGTTTGGATGGTTTTACCGTTATTTGTACTGTTTACGCTTTATCTTTGCCTTTTTTGGGTTTTGTTGTGTTGCATGTTTTATGGTTTGCTGAGGACACTGCATGTTGTTTTGGGACTGGGTGAAAGTGATAGGAAACTGAGATGAAGTACCAGACAAAGAGCTGTGCACAAGCCAGGAATGAGTGCGACCAGAAAGACTTGGTGCAATGCCTAATACTACCAAAGTAAAGGGAAGTAACCAAGCTAAACTGAACCTGTGTTTGTGATTCTGCCTCCGTTTTTTGTGTGCCAAGGCGCTTGTTTCTCTTCCCCAGGGACAGCAACAGTCTCAGCAAGGAAAAGCCAGTGGGACAGCGAGCTGGGCCGGATTAAACATCAGGGCAACAGTACAATTGCCCAGGACCCCAAGACACCTAAAGGGCCCAAGGCACTGGTTAAACCTTTTTCCGTGAACCTGTCCGCTGGTGCCAATTGTAGCCTACTCATACAGTGTGATTATGAGATGACAGACGGACCTTCCACTCATTGGTCAGACTGCATCAGGTGACATTAATGCAAAGTTAAATAAGTGAAAGGTCATGCCAAATTGACGGCGTCATAAAAAATCTTGTAGCCTGCAAACAAACCTTCAGGGCAGCTAAGTGGGAGTGTTTTACATTTTAAAAAGATACAGACTATAGAAATATGGAGATTATAAAATAAAAAATGAAAATAGGAAGTTTCTTCACTGTAGCTAAGGCAGCTACTAGCAATGAGGACTGTTCAGCTAGTGGTGACATTTTTTTGCCTTTCGGAACAGCCAGCAGCCTGGACACCAGTATATTGGTGGCAAGCGCTAACGTAGAGGGAGCTGCGACTGTGACCATGGAGGAAATTAGAGGATGGATGTAGGACCCTCTCTCTCAACAACGATTTACTGTATTCCCTTTTCTAAAACAACCAAATTGTGCCAAGGGACTGCTTACTTTACTCACCATCGACTGGCTCAGTTTACATCCAAACTCTTGTCATCGCAAAGGCATGCATTTATCAGCGGGTTATGTGAATGGAAACACCCAGAGAGGATTTGTGATCATAAAAAGAGCGCAGAACATTGACCAAACATGCTTTCTTTATTACACAAGTCTAAACACCTATGCAAGATGCTTCTGTTGCCTGAAAGCGTGATGCAAAACAACAGTATTGGAAAGAGGCAAGACTTGGGGTTGGACTTGGAAGTCATGAGTTGGAAGCATGTCTGGAAAATACAATGGGCTCCAGGAACAGCTAAAAAAAGAAAACTCCCTAATCAATTATCCATGTGTGCTGCCCATTTGTTGAACCTTGAAGGTGTCAACAGCATTGATAATTGCTGTAAGGATGTCGACTCATATTTTCAACTGCTTTAGCAGCACCTCATCCCATCACTGGGTCACACTATTCCATAATAGAAACAATTACATTAGCCACATTCTAAAATCCCTCTGCAGTACAAGATGGAGTTGTAGGGCAGAGTCCACAGAAGCTCTCAATGAGAATTACAGGGCAATTAGAGGTACATTGGCCAAAATAGCATTTGACTGTAATGAGAAAACCCAAACCCAACGCATAGCTGCTGCCCTAGTTTCTTAACTTGATCAATTGGAGACTAATGAATAATGAGTATTTTGTGGGATAGAGTACTGGGTATGTTTAAGGCAAAAAGTGATCATCTACAAAATACTTAAATAGATTTGCAGACAAGTCTGATAATGATGGCAAAGTAGCTTTTTCAGATGGCAGTCAGAGATTTAAGGTTCAAACCTTTTATGTCATTATTGACAGGCTTAACTCATCCCCATCCAAATGGATCAATGCACACACAAATGTGTATGAACTCTTTGGTGTTTTATTTGAGAGGGACTCTGGTGATTGTGATGTGCGTGAAAGAGCTGCTAAGCTGAGTTACAACCTGGACAAGTCCTTGGCAAACTTATTCAGTTCACCCTTTTTGTACTGAATGAGACTTCGCCTGCACAGTTGCTGCAAGTTCTATAGAGTAATGGATAATATTTCCAAATGTTTACATTACACTATGAATGATTTTAACCTTGCCTGTCTCGAATTGTGAGAGTGCGAGGTCGTATTCAGTTTTAAAACGAGTTAAAAATGAGCTGATGACCACAATGTCACAGAGAAGGCTTCCTGGCACTTTCCCTCCTGGCTATCAAACATGAACTCATTAGGGATCTTGATTTTGAGGATATTGTACACCAATTTGCAAATTCAAAGTCAAGAAAGAGAGCTAGTGTGTACGATCTGAAATGAAATAAAGCCACAACATGATTTCCCAGAAAATGTGTTAGTTAAACACGCTCTTGCAACCCGTCTTTCTCATTATATAAAAGTAAAAGTTGTGTATTTTGCCAGATTAATGTTGATGTGTTTTTATACATTATGTGATATGAGAGTATGATATGATGGTATTCAAGCATTGGATATATTTACTGTATGCTACTATAATGTTTCAAAAAGGTCCTTAATTTCAGCTAGAGGTAAACAAAGCTAGCTAGCTGGATAATTTATCTAGCTAGCTAATGTTAGCAATGAGTTGGCTGAAAATGCTGTCTCCAGCTGACATTTTACTGTTTCTGTTTCTGACTCGTTTTAACACAAGAACCATAAGGGGACTTTAAAAAGCACGAGATGAATACATACATTATATTGTATTTAAAAAAAACTGAGACCAATCCACATGTACCCATCCCAGAGTCAGCCTCCTTATCAGCTAATGATCTATTTGGAAGAATAGCATTGTTCCTGTATAGCATTGTTCTAGTATTGCACTCAAATGGGTTGGACTCTGAAGTGAAACAAAGTTTCTTAAACCTGCATTCTTTCTTATGACCAGCAGGGGGCGACTCCACTGGTTGCCAAAAAAAATGTCAGATTACATTTGAGTCAATGATCCTCCTTCTCACTTGATTTATTACCTCAGTAAACACTTTCCTAATGAGTTTACGGTCTCAGTCACTAGTTTATTTTGGAATATCTTTCTCACCAAAGCCTCATGCATACCGCTGCCTAGTTATGGTTGCTAAGCAATGATTGGACAACCACTGTTGAGGAGAGGGGTTTCCACACAGTCAATTTAATATATCTAAAGGTGTGATTACTTACTGCACCAGAATTTTCCTCCCCCTCCAGGTCACAGTTAATTTATTTGAACTTTTCACGCTGCCTGTCAAACGCTTGCCACCTGTGATCCTATTATGCAACACGTAAATGCTGTGAGAGATAATAAATGGGAGGAAGA